TACCGGAACTTCGGAGAGCATTGCTTTTTGAGTGGTGTAATATCTCCCAAGATCAGATCGGTAATTTGATACTCAGCATGCCTAGGCGTTGTACGGACTGTCAACGACTAACAATCATACCAACCATGTAATATTGGTTTTTTTTGTAAATAGGTTTTTTTTTTTTTTTTTTTTTTTTTTGTAATTTGCTCCAGGGAGAAAAAATTGCTAATTTTTTTAATAATATCATATAGCATCTTTTTTTTATCTTTACCTTTTGATTAATAAATAAGCTTTACAAATAAGTCAAATTTGTTTTGCTTCTAACTCTTCCTTTGCCTGATTTTGCATTATCCTTAATTTATGGACATGAGTGTATTATATCTATGCCTGAACTTCACTTTTTAATACCATTCTAAAAATAAAAGAGATCCGTAAGTAGGATGCATTATTATTAAACATAGCTTAATTAACAAAATTATTAATATGTTTGACAATAAAATTAATCTTATGAAATTTATCAAGTAGCATTAAATATTTTACACTTATAACTGGACATACTTGAAAGAAGATCAGTGACAATTTAGTTTCATTGTACTAACAGTTAGCTTTTTTATCTTTAATGTCTCATTTTGTCACATGCTTGCTCAGTCTAGAGGTTTAGTAAATAGTAAGTAGATTTTATGTCCAGCAGCATAGCATAAAATGAGCATTAAAAGCATAATCAGCATGATTCATAACAAAAGACTGGCTGTTGTCACGGCTCCTGCATGCCTAGAGAGAGACCTGTTGATCAGAACAAACCTGAAAGGCCTGATGTAGGCACAGTTAAAAAGTAAGTTTTGAAAGTTAGCTGAGCTCTGTCTGAGTCAGGCTCTGTTTAATGCAGTTAGTTTTGTAGGTGCATTATTTTATTTTAAGTTTTACTGGATGCGAAGAAGAAGTTTTACATGAATTTTTATATTTTTGTGTTTCACCTTGTGACCACTGTAAAGGTTAATGAAAGCCAATAACTCGCTTTAATATGCAAAGATAATTTTTAAGGGTAAACACTTTGTTATGATTTTTAAACAATATTAGGATAATTTCACATTAAGCGTTGTTTTGTAGCAACAAAACTCAACAAAATAATCATGCGTCTTTTTAATTTGAAGGCCTGCATTTTGGATAAATTTATATCAATTTCCTTCTCCTTAAGCATCTTTTCTAACAAATTTGTCTCAATATGCAAAACGATGTTCTCATTAGTTTCTGCCTGTTTTATCTCCTAACTGTCAACCTCTCCACAATGTACTACCTATGAGGGTTTTCAACTACTAAGGGTATGAGGGTACTATGAAGGTACTACCTATGAGGGTTTTCAACTACTAAGGGTATGAGGGTACTATGAAGGTACTACCTATGAGGGATTGTAAAAGTTAAATAGCTCACCTCCCCCTCCGACAGACGTGAAACAAAGTATGGCTATGTCTGAAAGTAACTATAAATCAGAGGTCTAAATAAGCTTCTTACTTAAAAAGAACTTAGAACATAAAGGCATGTTCTTATGCTAACAAAATCAATTACAGCTTGTGGTGGTGTAATTAAACAAGAGTTAAATTCAAACTAAAAATATGGACTAGTGGTCAATTTAATCTGGTTCAATAACTCTACATCATGATAAACTGAAATGTTAGCAGCGGTAATGGAAATTATCAGAGCTGATAGGAGCTAATACAGGGAGCAAGTGGAGGTCAGAAACACACTCTTCAATAATTTTGCTTTTCACTTTAGAATTTCATTAAAGATTTCTGTTATTCTAAAAGACAAAATGTATTTAGAATGTATGGAAAAAGCTGCTAATATTATTTCTTTAGTAATACGAACATTCAGAAGAAATATGAAATACATATGGTAAGGTCCGGTCGCAGAGATGGTGTGGCATAATTTTTAGAATTTAGTGACACACTGAGCAACAAAATCTAGAATTGGCAAAAATTTTAGAATTTAGAGCAGGCATTGGAAGCAGAATTTCGGATCCACAGAGACTGCATCAGTGCCAGCCCTGTGTATCATGCATTAAGACATATTAGATGAATATTTTGAATTGTCAAATTTCAATTTCTTTATTAATAAAAAAATTCTTTTCTACACTGCTTGCCCATAATGATAAGATTAGAAGCATTTTTGATATTTTCCATGCTTGTGTCTAGTGAAAAGTAGAGAAAGAGAAAACTGATGCATATTCTGAGAAATGGGGAAAAAAAAAAAATCTCTTACCATGAAAAAATTAAAAAGTCGTTTCTAATTAATTACATAGCTATTTTGCTTTTGCTAAAAACTGTTTCGTAAATTGTGCTTTATAGCATTATACCTTGCTTATTTTTCAGAATCAAAACATTGTATAATATATGGCCAAAGTGGAACTTTATAATATGACAGTGAAAAATAAATATGATTTATATTATTCTTAAATATAACTCTAATACATTACCATTATTTTAATGAAATTTATCAATGTTAGAATGTTCTAGAAAAGTCGGCAAAAATTTCCCAGATTTCGGAATTTTAGGAACAAATTATAACCCATAACCATATTTGTCAGTGAATCACCTAAAATATTCCTCCAAAATGCTAATTCACACTCAAAATGGCAGTCCTGGAAACAGACAGAAATTTTAGTTGATTAAAATTAAGGACCTTCTGCCGATTTTGCTGAAATTAAGGACTAAAAATTGATTCCAAAAAACTTAAGGACCGTATGAACCCTGGTTTCATCATCATTGTAAGTTTGTTCTGGAGATAACTTTCAACTGTTAATGAGTTCAATGAATTCATCTGCAAATAGTTCAACAGCTTCAGTGTTAGCTAAAGCTTCCGAAATTCTTAATTGCCTTATACTATGGAGTTTTTAAAATTTGTTTAACCAACATGCTGAATATGTGCACGCTGTTTTTAAGTTAATTTCTTGGTGAAATATTTTAGCTTGAGTCATCAATGGCACGCCCTCGCTGCAACACTATCTGACCCATTTAGTCATCACTTTAGTCATGATCTTTTTTTAGCAATACAAATCATTTTTCTGTTATTGATTGTGAGTGGGATATCAGAATCCACAAAATATTCCTTTTTGTTTTCTTATGTCATATACAGTTGGCTTTCCAATTCACCTCCCATATTGAGACAGATATACCTTTATCCATTTTTTATTTAATGGGCATTATATGATGCTTTCGCTTTGGAGATCCTGTTGCAGCTGTTTAGAACTAGAAACTCTTGCCAACATGATCAAAAGCTGAAACTTTAATTTTCATAATATTACTGTAATAAAACAGCCTCCCAATGTGAAAAATAATTAAGCTGGATCAAATCAGAACATTAACAAATTGCACAATCTGCTATATTAGCTGAAATTCCTTGGAATCGGTAATATTTTAGCCTAGCTTAATATCCTCTGCTATGAATTACTGGCTATGTACTATGATATTGGCGACAAAAGACAAGAAGTTCCTGTCAATTTTGTCTTGCTTATATCATGCACTGCGACAATTAAGCCTAATTGTATTAGTTCAGTTATTTATTATACTTACATCTATTTCTTGCATATGCTTTAGGCTTATCTGAGTTCTGAATAAATAAATTCCCACATATACTTAAGGCTTATTGAGGGAAGGCACTAGATATCTTACCGCCTAATGCAGTCTCTGTGCATTCTAAATTCTGCTACCAAGTACCTCCCTAAGATCTAAATTTTTTATCCCAGTGCTAGATTCCAAAAATATTTTCATTCCTTAATCTTGTTGAATTCTCTATATTCCGAAAAATCTTGCCTTCCCCAAGTTCTGGGGTTGTACTGTATTCGCAATGGTTGATTGTCTACTCCACTAAGGCATTTCTCTTATTCTTCAAGATCTTTTGCCTTCCGTTTCCTCCAAAGTTATTATTTATTAAGCTTATATACGAGGGCCATCCAGGAAGTAGATTACGTTTCCGTCTGTGTCCGCTAGGGGCGGGGCTAGCGCGGCCATCTTGGGGTCAGAGCGTTGCGCAGCTCAGTCTGCATCTAGCCGTGCTAGTGAGAGGTTCGTGCTGTGCTCCGTTCAGATACTGTGACGGTTTGAAATGTCTGCGTTAATTGAAAATCCCGCGAGCTGCGAGGTGCGCTCAGTAATAAGGTTTCTGACTGCAAAAAACTGTAAACCGATAGAAATCTATCGGCAGCTTCGTGAAGTGTATGGGGACAACATTATCACTGAAGGTGGAGTGCGTCAGTGGGTCATAAGATTTCAAAATGGCCGAACCAATGTTCACGACAAAGATCGAAGTGGGAGACCCAGCATAGTGACCGCCGAACTTCTCGAAAAAGTCGATGCTAAAGTCCGTGAAAATCGAAATTTCACAATAACGGAACTTTCTTTGAGTTTTCCACAAATTTCGCGAAGTTTGTGGCACGAAATCATCAGCGAAAAGCTTGGTTACCACAAGTTTTGTGCAAGATGGATTCCAAAAATCTTGACAGAGGACCACAAAATCAGCGAATGGCTGCAGCGTTGAACTTTTTGGACGCTTACCATAAGGATGGTGACTCTTTACTCGATCGCATCGTTACTGGTGACGAAACATGGGTGAAACATTCCCCCCCATTCCCAGCAATGAAGAAGTGGCTGGCTATGCAGCGTTTTGATGACGACGCACAGCTGCAAGAAGAGGTAACGAAGTGGTTGAAGGCGCAGGCGGCCGAATTTTTCGACGAAGGAATTTCCAAGCTCGTACATCGCTACGATAAATGCCTTAATTTGTATGGTGACTATGTAGAAAAGTAGTATTTGAGTGTGGCTTTCATCTGTATATAATAAAATTTGTTTCCTATACTTTGTTTATTTTTTTATTCCAAAACATAATCTACTTTCTGGATAGCCCTCGTATATTGATGCTGTATTTTCAATATAGTATGGAATCCTGTATCATGGAGATTTATTTGGTTTGAAAGAATGGAGAAGTAAAATAAATGTGTTATGAAATTTGACTGCATGTCACACACATATATAAAACAAATTTATTCAAAAATATACCCTTTTTAAGATTGAATAATAAAAAATATATATTTTTTTGAACAAAATTCTTATTTCTCTAGAAGCACACTCTTTACAGCAATACATACAGCTCCTGGACTTGGTCTTTGAGCAGTCTTCAGAACAGGCATGCTTAAATCAGATAAAGTTTTTTCAGTAGTTGGACCAACTGCTATACACTACAAGTGAATACATTTACAAATAAATTAAAAAAAGCTTAAGATATATTTTAAATGAGATTTTAATATACATTTAATAACAATTTGGTAAGAATGATGAATAAGTTTTACCTTCAGCTGCTTAAAATCACCTGCGTAAGAAGATTTGATCATTTTGTAACTAAATTCCACCCCTGAAGGACTAAAAAAAACTAATAATTCTGGCAAACCCTGAAATGTACAAAAGTTATTTATGCATTTTATTATTATATAGAACTGAATTAATTTAATTACAGGCACATACCTCAAGTTAGAAGACAAATCTTCAATTTTAGAAAAAATAAATATGAATCAATAAACATGTTCCCGATTCTCAGTTACACATCACTTTCACTTAAACAACCAAATCTTTCAAAAATTAGAAACCATTTTTCAATCACTAGAAATCAAATCAGAAACTTTTGGGAGGGGGGGTGAGGGAACCTTTTGCAAAAGAGTCAAATCAAAAGTTAGTTCTCGTCTCTTCTCAATTTTTTGAAAATAAATTTTTAAACCATTTCATTTTTTCAAAGTCTTTCATACAGAACATCTAGCATTTAAATAGATTGTATGCATTCATAATGAGCTGTGACACTTCTGTTTGAAGAATGATTCACATTCTACATGACTTTGAAGATTTCTATTCACTGTTAAAATATCAATGTAAAATAATTATACAGAAAGTTGAAAGGATTCATTGAAACAAGCAAAAATATGTTATTTACTTACATAACAGAGTATTCACGAGTTTCCAATAAATAAAAAAAGATATACAATTGCAGTACTTTCCAAGCAAGTTTATTCACATCTGAGGAATACACTGACAGTATACCCTATGAATGTCTGGAACTGTGATCTTGGATATAATTTTTTTCAAATAATGATTAATCTTCTTGCTAAATATATACATTAGTTATTTCCAAATCCATACACAATGCCAAAAAGCTGCAATTATAATAAAGTCTCTGACAGAAACCACTTTTCCTGAAAATGACAATCTTTTCTTAAACTGTACATAAATGTTAGCAATGCATATCACCACACTAACATGGTAACCCCGACTGAAGACAAATTCATTTGAAATTAGGAACCATGAAAACCATATGGAATCTTAATGGAGGTTTTAACTACAAGCACATAAATATGAATCTCATAATCATGTAGTCTACAATCTACCACTTTTAGCAATTCATTTATTTCTTAGATTGTGTCACTAAAATGCTATTTTTCAATTCAGATATGTAATAAAATAGCAGGAAGAAAAATGATTAAAACAAATAATTTCAGTGCCACCATCTAAACAATAAAGAACTATCTAAAAGCTTGATATTCGCAAACTAGATGATTACCATGAATCTTTCTCTGTAAGATACAGTACTGATATTAAATATGTTATACAGTCACAAGTCGTTAATCCGGACTCGTCGGGACTTCGGCGATTCCGGATTATCGATTTTTCCGGATTATAGATCATCAGTTTAAATCTCGTAAGATGGCATGCAGAAATTCTAAAATTAAAAATATGAAACCGTAATTTATGAAATAAAGAACAATTATGATCTAAAGGGTATCAAAATTTACAAAAAAAAAAAAAAAAAAAAAAAAAAAGAGACAGAAAGCAGCTTAATACTTATTTGTTTACTTTATTAAACATTTCTCTCAATGTAAGTTGTTTAAGTTGCTTCATTTTATGTGATAATACTTTCTCTTTAATTCTATAAAAAGACATAATTTCTTGTTCAGTTACAAAGTTCCGCTGTTCAAGTCCCGTTAATTGCTGTGCCGAGAATACCGACTAACTTGTCAATGGAAATTTTTTCGTTTTCACTAACCTCTCTGCCACATTCTTCATGTCTTTATCTATTTTTTGCAGCAATTTCAACTTGTTTGGAAAATCGAAACATACTTTCGTTGTTTGCTGACAAAGATTCTATTCGAGACATAATCTCAAAGTCGTTTTATAGATCCCTTGGATATTCTATTAGACATAATCGAAAGTTCAAGTTTACTTTATAAAATTGCTCTTACAGTCTGCAAAAAAGCGGGATCCAATTCGAAGATTAAGGAACAACGCAATCATGAACATTAACTGAAATAGATAATTTTAGCTTACACCGTCCGTTATACATAAAACGCGCAGGCGAAAACGTATTCTGCACTTGTGCACACGCATATGCGCAGTAGTCAAGGTCTTACATGCACGCGTAAAATGCCTGTGCGCATGTTCCAACGCGGCGCATGCGCAGAAAGTTTTTAGCTTTGAGGTCCGGATTATAGATCATTCCGGATTATGGGTGTCCGAATTAACGACTTTTGACTGTAATACATATCTCCTCATATTTCTTTTCACACACTCTTCTTGCTTCCCCCTCCTCTTCAAATGAAGATACATACAGTGATGTATTAGTAGCACATGGATTAAATCAAAATAAATTATACATAATTATGTGAAAATTTTACAAAAGCTTCCTTTCTACACAAAAAAAAAAAAAAAAAAAAAAATTCATTTACTCTCTCACCTTATCTGACAACAAATTTTCCCACAAATCTCTCATGTTTGGATTAGAAACAGTTTCATAACAAATAACTTCTTCAACATGCACACCTAAAAATGGTTGAATATTTTTAGGAATTTAAGTGTGAATTACTAAATGCATTTGAAGTGTCAAATTTGTATTTTTCAGAAGTGATTTTTAAAATTGTTAAATAAGGTTTGATGGTATAGTCAAAATATTACTTACCACAACTCGGCAAAATTTCAGGTATTGTGTCTTGTCTTTTATTACTACAAGGAAAGAGCAGTGGCTTCTCTAATGGCACATAGTCTAAAATATAAAATACAAAAATTTTCAATGTTTTTCATGTAAGTAGATATAAAAATTATAAAATTTTGCTAAGTCCATTGTGCATTAGAATTTATACTACAGCACAAAATCATGATATAAGTTTTCATTACGCTTCTTTCATCATGTATCATGAAATAAATACAAATCAAAAACAATTTCTAAAATTTCTCTAAACTAAAAATTTTGCTTACCTTGAAATATTTTTTACAAACGAATATTATTTTATGCAAAATATTGTTTATAATGAATAGCCTAGGAGCATTTTCAAGGAACTGTAGAAAGAATTTAGGTTTCAAAATTTTATTATACAACTTTACAGGTAGCATCATAATACTTAAGAGTGACATAGAACTGCAGAGCTCAATATATAAAATTCTTATAACTAATAACAAAACCAAGAAATGAATTAACATTAATGTGAGAAGAAGCTTGACATTTGAAAGACATATTCTTGGATTTCCAAAGAATATATTATAATTCAATGAAAAATTCATTGAATGTATTTAATTCAAGGAAAAAGAGGTTACAACAGAGATTGCTCAAACCTGGTTTGATTAAGGAAATTGACAGAAATAAAATGTAATTAAAAATCTGTACTTCCATTCATTGACATTCCAAGGATAAAAGTGGCATAAAAATATAATGTAGAAAATCAGGTACTTTTGTATTAATGTAACCACCCTGGCAGCATTAGGTAATTTTTTTATCGACTGCAAGTTGGTTTTTCACAAATTTCTTTTAGAAAGATTCCCAATCTATCAATATTTATTGTAAGTCAGCACACATTATCAGTGTATAAAAAGAAAACATACTTTAGCAATTTAAAATACAAATTTTAATTATGAAATAAGGATTACATGACACACTAAAAAAATGAAACACTTGCATTTTTCTCCTCCAGTACACAGCAATCTGTTTACACTTAAAAAATTGCAGAGACTTGGCGTCATCAAAACCTCTGCAACAACAGCTATTTATCAAACATATCTCCTTATTGTTTCCTTTACAGATTTTGTGGCAAAATTCTGTATTCCTCCAGAAATTTTTACATATTGGGTTGTTCGGAAAGTAATTTCATTTTTTTTTGGGGGGGGAACATGAAAGACAATTTTCGTATAATGAATAAATATTTTATTAAATTATATATTGGCCATTCTGGTCCAACACCTTTTGCCATCTTTCTGGCAGTAACATGATTCCCCGCTCATAAAAGTTTTGGTCCTTGCTGGCAAAAAACTGATTCAGGTGGTTTTTGACATCTTCATTTGAGGTAAACGTTTTACCATCCAAAAAATTTTGCAGGGACCGGAACAAATAATAATCGGAAGGCACCAGATCTTAAGAATATGGTGGGTGTTGCAGTATGTCCCATTCAAGCTGTAAAAGCTTTTGGCGAGTGACCAAACTTGTATGAGGTCTCGCATTATCCTGGTGGAACACTACACCCTTCCTGTTGGTTAATTCTGGCCTCTTCTGTTTAAGTGCATCATTCAATTTGTCCAGCTGATGACAATAGACTTCCAAATTAATAGTTGTATTGTCCGGTAAAAGCTTAAAAAAAAAACGATTCCTTTGAAATCCCACCAAACAGACAGCATCACCTTTTTTTGGTGAATGTTGGCTTTTGAAACGCTTTGAGCCGGTTCATCTTTTCTGCTCCATGACCTCTTGCGTTTCACATTGTTGTATACGACCCATTTTTCGTTCCCAGTAATAATCCGCTTCAAAACTGGATCGTTTTCCTGACGTTTGAGGAGCGAATCACACACGTCAACGCGACGACACAAATTTCGCTCCGTAAGAACATGGGGCACCACACATCGAGCTTCGAGGTTAAGCCCAGGCCTTTCAAGTAGCCATAAACAGTCGAATTCGACAAATTTAACCTCTCACCAATCTCTTGTGTGGTTATTCGCCGATTTGCATCAACTAATGCCTTTATCGCATCATTGTCAGCTGCAACCGGCCTTCCAGACCGTGGTGCATCTTCGACATCAAAATTGCCGGATCGAAACTTTGCAAACCAGTTCTGGCACTGGCGTACTGTTAACACGCCTTCTCCATACACATCCGTCAATTTTTTTCTCGCTTGGACAGCATTTTTACCTTTTCTGAAGTAAAAAAGTAAAATATGACGAAAATGCTGCTTATTGCTCTCCATATTTAAAAGGGCACCAACCAAAAACTATTGCGTAGAATTAATAGAACTTTTTCACACACAAGCCTTGTAATATCAGCTCTCAAGACATATAATGGTTATGCGGTTTAAGTGTGAAGTTGGTTTCGAAAAAATGTAATTAAGTCCTCTGACGGGAAAAAACGAAATTACTTTCCGAACAACACAAAAGTTTCTTTCACTGATGGCAAATCTAGAAGGGCATATGTTAAAATTGAGTTTAAAGCAAAAAAATACCTCGAGTTGTTTATAAAAACCATTGGAACTCGGAATTTAACGTAATGAAAATGGCGAGGTTGCACGGTTTATGAAGAATGGTTATGTGCATGGCTGCCAGAGTTTGGCTGAAAATCTGGTGATGTCTACTAAGGCGGTTGCAAGTACCAAAAATAAAAGAACAAAACAATGACATCACCCTAATTTGCAGATATTTAAATCACGTAACTATGGCTATTTCGCCCATGTAAAGAGAAGGCTTTTGTAGAACACTTTTTAAGGAAATATAATTTGTACCTATGCTATTCATGAGAAAATCTCAAATAGCCAGCAGGTGCTACAGCCAGAAAGCGAACGTAGAGCAAATTACTAGTACAAATATAATCTACAAATAAGATAATCATGTATTATTCATAAGACAATGGCAGGTTGAAATCAGTCAGAAGAAATGATAAAGCTTCTTTCCTCGATAGAAATTTCAGAGATCTTATAAATTGCTTATAACACAGCTTGTGACTATTTGAAGTTTATAGTAATAAATAAGGTTTTAATGCTATAACACTGCAAGTTTCAGTTCAGTAACACATTTTATGAATATGCTTCTGATAAAATTATGCATAGGAATAAAATCAATTTTAAATATTTAAGATTTTTATAATTTTTTAAAAAGCAGCTAAAATATTATAGCAAAATTTTGATATGTTTTAATTATATGACTTATCAATTCAAGGAATATAAGAAAAATATTTTTTAATTTCCCTAAAATACAACTTCCAACGAAAAACCTGAATACATTAATTATTAACACTAGCAGATGACACAAAATCCACATTTCATGGAACCTGAAGCTGAGTGAATTTCAAGTCATTAATGACAAATTATGCAATTTATATTAAAAAAGGAAAGAAGTGAAAATAAATGGGGGGGGAAGAGAAAAGCAATCCACTTTTGACTTTATTTTATAGATTAATATAGTATACATTATACTTTTAGCTGCCCAGATGGGAAAGTGGTTAGTGACTCTGACTGCAGTACCAATGTGCCTCGGTTTAAATTCCAAAGAAGGAATGGATGTAATTTGTCTGTCCCTTCATAGGAGGCAGAGGTGGCCCACCTATGAGGTGCCTCTATAATAAAGTAACTATGGCTTTCAGCCTTACTAGACAGTGCCTACATGGCTAGGCCTGCCACTAGAAAAAAAAATATTATAATTTCTTATAAAAAGAAAATAAGGACAAAAAATATTAAATTATTTCTCATATTTTTCAGTTTGAATCACCCCTCCTCTCAAAATATAGTGTCCTTACTTCCTGATCAGTCACACACTTTTGTTGTTCTAAATTCATTTTTTCACTATTACTCACAGGAATATTGTGAGTTTATTTACAACTTACCATTCTGATACGGGGAAAAAGTATTACTTTTAGGGTACTGTTTAATCATCGGAACTGAATTAAAAAATATATGGATATATGTGCATATATGTGTGTATATATCCATTCATACATACATTTCTGAATCTGGTCCAGATAACAAGAGTACCTTGTTAGTTCTATTTGTAACAAAAAATAAAATTTCAAAATACATATGATATTTGAACAAAGCCTTTCAAATACAAATAACTATTTTCCCAAAGAATTAAATACAAAATTCTTTATCATTTAGCAATTTAAAAATTGTAAGATCCACCTCAGTTCCCTTGTGAAATAAGCAATATCCCTTAATACAAATATTAATTAACAAAATAAATAAATTAACCAATTTCCCATTGGCTTCTCTCAACAAACATCTAGTAGCCAAGAGAAACATTAAATTTAAAAACTGCAGAGAATTATTGCCCTCATTTTTCTGAGTGGCAACAGTGCTGATACAATGAGAGAGAATTATCAAACTGATGCAATTTTGCCAAAAATCATAAAATAATAATAAAAAAAAAACTCATTTGAATTTTGAAAAATATTGCTTCAAAGTGCACTGGCTTTTGTCTGTATACCAAATTTCGTAGCCCTGGGTCTATTAGCTTATGCGCAGCATGAACAAAAGACACACAGACATACTTTTCCTTTTATATATACAGATTTATATTAAATACATCAAAACAATTGTTAATAAATATAGTATCACACTGTATTTTTTTAGATTTAAAACTTGGGTGCATTGCAGGGAAAACTGGTAATTACTGGGCGGCATATCACATATTTATCCACCAGTAGGTCCATCAAAAACTGTTTACTGTCAAAAATATTTTGAATTTAGGATAGAACATATACAGTCAAAAGTCGTTAATCCGGACTCGTCGGGACTTCGGCGATTCCGGATTATCGATCATTAGTTTAAAATCTGGTAAGATGGCATGCAGAAATTATAAAATTAAAAATATGAAACCGTAATTTATGAAATAAAGGACAATTATAATCTAAAGGGTATCAAAATTTACAAAAAAAAAAAAAGCTTAATATTTATTTGTTTACTTTATTAAACATTTCTTTCAATGTAAGTTGTTTAAGTTGCTTCGTTTTATGTGATACTTTCTCTTTAATTCTATAAACTGACATAATTTCTTGTTCAGTTACAAACTTCTGCTGTTCAAGTCCTATAATTGCTGTGTCGAGAATACCGACTAATTTTTCAATCGAAATTTTTTCGTTTTCAATAACCTCTGTGTCACTTTCTTCACTATCGGAAGCAAATTATAATGACGAGGAATTTGATTTAAATCATATCAAAGACAGAGTACATTGAGATGAAGTACTACATGTAGTAAGGAATTATAAGCCGAATAAAATGAAAACATCTGCCCTGAAGATAAGGATAGTGCTGACAGATCAACTTCCAATTCATTGCACGCAGCGGCGTTTCCCTCCCCCCCCCACCGCAGGGCAGCATGGAATTGATAAACAGATTTCGGAGTGGTTAGAGAAACAAAGGATATTCCTTTATCCATTTTTTGCAGCAATTCCACTTTTTGTTCAATGGACTTCAAAACATACTTTCGCTTTGTATATACTTTACACATTAGTAAATATATATCGGACATTATATTTGACATAATCGAAAGTTCAAGCTTACTTTTATAAAATTGCTCTAACAGTCTGCAAAAAATAATTAAGCCGGATCCAATTCGAAGATTAAGGAACAACTCAATCTGCAACATTAACTGAATTAGATAATTTTAGCTTAGCTTATACCGTCCGTCATACATTAAACGCACATGCGTAAACGTATTATGCGCATGCGTACACGCATATTCGCAGCCGTAAAGGTCTTACGCGCATGCGTTATGTTGACGCATGTGCAGAAAGTTTGTAGCTTTGAGGTCCGGATTATGGGTGTCCGAATTAACGACTTTTGACTGTATTAATTTTCAGCAATTAAAAAAAAATGCTTTTGGGGGGAGTCAGAAATTTGAAAAAAAAAATCCGACCAAGAAGAGGTCCGACCAAGTCATAAAAATCATGGCTTACAATGTAGGACATGGGTACTGTTCTGTTATGAGAACCGGATTCAGAAATGTATGTATGTATGGATGGATGTGTTCATGTTTGCATATATATATATGTAAATACGAATATATGTGTACATATACACACATATATACATTCACAACATTTCTGAATTATTTGCATGTGCATACGGTTCCACATAAGAATTCAGGAAATGTACGGAATTCTTATGCTTTTGCACAACTGTAAAGTAATACTCATATGCCTTAAACATGTTTTAAAAGTGAGGAGCCGGCACAGTTTTTGCATACTTGATTTAATAAGACTACAAAGTTTTTCACTACTGCCACAATCTTTACCTACAGTATGGAGGTCCAGTACAGTTCCTGGAAATAAAAGTAAACAACATAAATAAAGCTTTTATTAAAGTAATATCTGTTAACTTAATATCAGGTAAATATGCAAGCAAATATTAACAATAAGTATTAAAACAGTAGCTTTTATGCAATTAAACAAAAATAAAGAACATTAATACCTGACTGCACTGTAAAATATCTGACTACTGGATTTTTCTAAAAGAGCATACTTTCGCAGAAATTACTTTAAACACGTAAATCAGATCAGATAAATATGCAAGCAAATATTAACAATAAGTATTAAAACAGTAGCTTTTATGCAATTAAACAAAAATAAAGAACATTAATACCTGACTGCACTGTAAAATATCTGACTACTGGATTTTTCTAAAAGAGCATACTTTCGCAGAAATGACTTTAAACACGTAAACTCAAATGCAAACAAAATATAGCTTCAGGTATTTTAAAGATAAAATGACTACTTGGCAATACTTATGGATGGTTATGCCAAATCTTCTTTAAATACATTATAAACTAAAAAGTTATGCAAAACTCACGAGCTAGATCAGATGTTGATTCACCAACGGCAAAATTAGTCTTATATTTCCATTCAGATATAATACCTAAAAAGCAAGATTGTGTTTAAATTTAGTAAGCTTCTCAAGCAATATCAAAAGAAACATAAAATTTAATTTATGGTTATATAAACAAGAAATCTAATATAATATAGTTATTTCTTATAAGAATTAACATGAACTCTATCCAAACTATTGCACTTTTTTACATATCAGAATTTTATAACTAAGAGATGACTGAAAATAGTTTTTTTTTTTTTTTTTGTTCACTTTTTATTTATATTTCATATTTCTATGTCTTTAATAAGCAGTAAATAAGTTAAGCCATTATGCATAATTAGGATGTTAGTTACTATTTCTATAATACAGCAATCAATCAGCCTCAATATTTTTGGTACAACTCTGATATACGCCCTAATCTCACCAAATATGGCGATATGTGTCCTACGCTGGTTTTTGGCACGATTGCGTGCTGTATGGCAACCCTGTTGACGTTGAAAAATCTTTCACTGGAGCTTGTTGGTTCGCGTCTGTGTCTGAGAAGATGGGGGAAGGAAAAGATAAAAGTGGAAGTTCGGCACAAGGAAATATCATTGTGGCCATCCTGTTGAGGGACAGTGGGTGTTTGGAGGAGTGGAAAGAGGGTCTAGGAAATTATTTTTAGTTGCTGTGCATGATAGAAGTAGGGATTTTATGCATGATAGAAGCATAAAATCCCATTTGTGAACCATAGTATGAATTTTCCGGATAGTGTGTCTGGCTGTCATATAAATACGATAGTGATTACGTGGCGGCATGAAATTGGTATTTCTGCTGTTCGTAAAAGCTTTAATTCATGGTAAGTGCATTTCATTTTTATTCTTGTTCTTATTTTGTAGAATGTTATGTTGTTTTTTTAGTATTAATTTCTGTTGTTATTCTTTTTTTTAGTTGTTTGAAATTTATTTTAGTTTATTTTGTTGATTAGTGCATAGTGTCTAATTTGTGAAATTTGTAGATGTTTCTTAAAGTTGAAACAGAACACTGTGTACATGGTATTCTTTGAAATTTATTGTTGTTAATTTATTAAAACGAGGTGTGAGTAGTTCGTAGATTCGTTCATTTCCTAAATTGTGCAATTCGTAGATTTTTTTTAAGTTTAAACAGGATGCTGCGTACATGGTATTCTTTGAAATTTATCGTTGTTAATTTATAAAAGTGAGGTGTGAGTAGTTCGTAGATTCGTTCGTTGCCTAGATTGTGCCATTCGTAGATGTTTTTTCAAGTTAAAACATATCGCATATTCTTGTCAAATATTTTTGGTTAGAATCTTTATGTTTTTGCTATCTAAATTTTTTGTTTTTGTTTCGGATTTTTAGCTTAAATTATGTGTTCAAAACGTGTTTTTTGCATGTGCAAAATCCACGTTTTTGGAGACATTTTAGGCTTAAAGTTCGAAATGTGAACAAAAAATTTAGATAGTAATATGGCAGCGTGGAGGGCGAGAAACTCCACGCTGCCAAAAATGTTTGGCGAGAAATTTGGCGACTTGAGGGCGCATATCAGAGTAGTTCCATATTTTTTATCAAAGCATCTCTATTTTAATTTTTGGAGGATAATTCACTTAGGTTTTCTATTTGTAATAATCAGTGCACATTACATAATGGTGAGTACTCAGTTCATAATCAAAAGACAAAACCCAAAATGCAGGAAAGTTGATATGAATAATAATTTAAATAGAGTAAGATGCTGATCATTTATAATATGATAAAATACTCAAAAACTTAGCTTCCTTACAAAGTTACACTATATGTATGTAGTATATAGTAGTGCTACACATGTACTAGTAATGTATACATTACCCTTGTACCTCATATGTATGCACTTCATGCTAGTATCCTACACCTATGCACGTATAGATTCACATAGCATTTAAATCTGCTAATTTTAGTGCTTGGCCATAGCAAAATCACAAAAAATGATAGCAAACTACGAGAACTGCCTGTATATCTGCCTGAACTATGTGAACTACCATACATCTTAATACGTATGCTAATCAACTCACTTCCCCCCCAAATATATATTCATGTGATATTACACATACATCAATGCTCATATTAGAAAAGAATATATCCATCAACGTTTCTAAGACAAGACTTACATTGATTAGAGTACTTCTGTTGTACTTGAATTTATTGAACATGCTTGTACTTGAAGCTGCATGTTCACTTTTTCCCCTTGCAAAATTTAGCCAATATTACTGGTTCAATTTTGCAGTAACCTTAACTCAGAAAAACATTTTTAGATTAAATCTCTCTTTACCTGAAAGTTTTTTTAAATTATGATTAAACACATTACTTGATGGTTACACACGGTAATTGTGTTTCATTATTAATCCCCGAGTATGAATATGAAAATATATATGGCATTTTGAAAAAGATTTTTTATTTTACATATATTTTGTTCACATATATCTCACACATGTTTACAACTACCCCGTCCTTCCTTAATAAGGCATATGCAGAAAATTTCAATCATTTTTTTTTTTTTCTGAAAAGATTACAGAACTTAGAAATTCTTCATAACAAATGTCTAAAAACATTCCTTCACGGAGAAAAACAGGTAAGCGGTGAACTATTTTTTTTTTTTTTTTTGTTTGTTTATGTTGCCTTACACCGAGAAGCAATAAAAAAAACTGTTCACATGCGCATCTCTTCCCCATATATCACACGAGAAAAGAACCGTAACTTACTTTTATCACATTTTTTTAACACTCCAGAAACAGCTTCTACCGCTCTCTTGCTAGTAAAAATGATGCCACTGAAATCTTTAGGGTTTTTAAGGGATATTCCTAACTTTTCTTCATTTATAAATGCAAAAGTCAGAGGCGAAATTACTTTAGCTACGATGCCGGATTTCTGAAGAATCTAAAAAAAAAGAACAAAAACATACCGCTATTGATATTGTACAAACAATATTTTTAAGAAAAATCTTTCTATTCATTTTCGCGCGAAAACAAGCACAAAGTGCGAAAAATCTAACTGCTTTACTTCTACATAATCATCACGACTAGTGCCACCTGCTTCTGTTTTGAAAAGGACTACGTAGGTCATCTTCCTCACAACCTTTTCGACCAATTCTAACAATGGACTTGGATTAAGAACGTTGTGTTCAATGTTTATGAACAATACAACTAGCGTCTACATCCCAAAACAGCAGCCTATGAGAGAGGCGATTCTATTATTTTCATCGAGAGTAGGGAAGTTAGAACGGTTTTCTGAGGAACGCCAACGGTAGTGCACGATGTTTGCTTACATTAGGAAGTTCATAAAATTGCAAAGGTGGATTGCCTTAGTTTCTGCGATTACTTTCAGGCAAATATTAGGCAGTTTTTTTTTGGTTTGCTGATAGAGGGAAAATAGATAATTTACCTTTATAAATCCGCGTTTATCTATTTAAACTTCAGAAGATTTAAGATGAAGCGAATATATTCAACACAACAGAACGCAAGCTTAAGACTTGTAAATCTTTTAAAAACAATTCATCGATAATTAAAAATATTCTTTACAGTTCATTATTAAAAACTTTTATAAATGCATAGTTATCATATAATTAACAATTCATCCGTGCATTATCTCATTATTTATTATAATTAGAAGAGAAGATATTTTTTTACAGTAATGTTTAAAAATTTGCTGTTGTCCTTTAAAAGATTTACAAGTCTTAAGATTGTGTTCTGTTGTGTTAAATATATTCGCTTCATCTTAAATCTTCTGAAATTTAAATAGATAAACGCGGATTATAAAGGTAAATCCGTAGAAACTACGGCAATCCACCATAGCAATTTTTTGAACTTCCAAATGTAAGCACTGCCGTTGCATTCCTCAGAAAACCATTGTAACTGCCCTACTCCCCGATGAAAATAATAGAATCGCCTCTCTCATAGGTGCCGTTTTGGGATGTAGACGCTAGTGAACAATACATATTCTTTGCTTGTGTGATACGGGCATTATTTGCTTCGCCGGTCTGATACTGGAAAAATCCCTCACCTGTCTCTCTAGAAGTAGCACGTTAATCAACTGGGCTTTATCTCCACCTGCTTATCTCTGGTTCAGTATGAAGCGTCTACTCATCCGACATCAAGGGTTTAGCCTAGGGTAAGGCTACTATAAAGGGTAAGGTATCTCTAGTAGCTCTAGCCTAGGCTGCGTTCAAACGGTGACGTAATTGTCACAGACATAGTTACTAGGAATAAAATGGGACAATTCTGTTCACACTTGCGACACCAAGGAAGGTTCGCAGTTTCCTCCATTATCGGGGAATGAAACTCCACAGAACAAGCGGCGTCCATGTTCGTAACTTCAAAACATTGCAATACGGCAGTGAAACGTATGTGCTAAGCTGCTCCGTGCATGTATTTTCCAGTAAAAATATTTTAAATGTATAATGAAATGCTTTCCTATTGTTAGTTTTTTTGTTTTAAAGATGATATCCGAACAAAAGAGAATAGAACAGAATTTCGAACTATTCCTTAATACGTACAGAAAATCATTAAGAAATAGTTCAAAATCTAAATGCATGTGCATAACATTAAAGCCTTGAAAAATCACGTTTCTGCATATTTCAAGAATTTTAGGTTTTATTAGCAACCTGTTGGGTGTACTTTCCAATTTTTTCTTTAAGTGATATTTCTGATTTATTCACAATATTATCATAATTTATTAAAGAATCATTTAAAATCATTTTAACCTGAAATTAATAGCAGATAATTATCTAAAAAAATAGTCACAGGTTGCATTTTTTTAAATGAAAGTTTTAAATAGATTCTTTTCACAACCAACAGCCTTATAACAAGAAGAAAATAAATATTATTGAAATAAAACAGATTTATGTGAATTCAATGATTTCAGTTTGTGCGCGGCAAAGAAATTGCCTTGAATTAAGCTGAATTACAGAAATATATCCATATAAATTTTTGGATAAATCTTTCCATATGCTCAATTGCGTAAATATTTTACATACTTTTATCGCTATACTGCCCAGAAATTTGTAAGTTTATGCAAAAAAAAAATTTAACAACAGAACAAACAGTTTATCTGCATCAAATGCACAAATTATATTCGTAACTGTTCACAAAATTTAAAAATGAATAATAATTAATACATAAAGAAAAGCATTGCTTTATTTAACACCTTTACAGTTCATAAAAATAGTAACAATTGATTTCTTACTTTTCATGAAAATTATAAAACGAATTACCTAATCCAAATGGGAATATCCAAATGGCACTGCAGGATTTAAGAATTTCGGTCAAACAGAGAAAAAGCTATACGAAGTGCAGAATCTGTTTTGAGAACGATTACGTTGAGTTTGTTATAGTATCGAAGTTGGTATTAAATTTTCACAGTATTTCTGTTGAAATGAATCCAACAGGCGCAATAAATAATGGAATCGACTTCGGTAAGAATTAACTTTGGATTACAAGCTTAATAATTTAAATGTATATATTAGTGATATAGGTGTTTATATACTCGCCTACAAATTATTTATTGCAGTCATCACCTTTTAATAGATCATTATAAAACTTGAATATTTTTATTATACTGAGCAGTTTTTAAACTTTGTTATGTTTGCATGTATTTAGATGTCTGTGTAAAGTTATGGTCCAATTTTAAAGATACAACAGTAAATATGGGCGGTGTTGAAGAAAGTGTTGTTAAACTGCTTGCAAGAAGGGGCTTGAGCACTGATTGTCAAGTGAGTAACAGATGTTTCTGAAATGGTATGAAAGTTTTGAAGCTTAAATCTTGAAATGTGATGTGTAAATGTTTATTTTTCATTGTTGTGGGGTTGGAATTTGGAGTAATTTTGGAACAATGAAGCATATGTATATATATATGGAAGCACTTCCGGAGAGAACCCGGTGAATGTAAACATTGCCAAATTTGGCGATAATAGTTAAAATCTGGTAACCCAGCGGATTCAACCTATTCGCTTGTTGCAACCATTCATCTTGCGTCCATTTTGTTTCGTTATCACTGTGGTTCTTCGATTTTGCAGATTTCTATTATTCTTCTTTTACTTATTACTTTTTTTTCTTAATTTTTTAACAACGAATAGATAGAAATATTTTCGTAGATCCCGGTTCTCGGTTCGGGATGAAAGGAAGAAAATAAAGCGGGAGGGGTGAATGCTAATTTGTAACACGGCTGCTCACGTTGTGTTCTTAATTATTAACAGCTGTACGCACGCAGAACCATGAGGTTCGAAACGCTCAAATAATTCGTTTTAGTACTCCGCAAAAATGTGCATTTTAAATAATTAAGTAATGCTTTTATTTTTGTTATTGTTTATTGTCAACTAAAATTATGATAATAAATCAATTTTTATGGAGTAAAATTGTAACAATATATTGTTAATGCTTTTCTTACAATAACCTTTCAGAGGATGGCAGGTGTGACATAAATAGATTATTAAATTTTAATAATAAATACTATTTATTACTGATTATCTGTGACAGAATAGTTTGATGTATTCCCATGGTCATCAAAATTAGCAAACCACTGCTGGGGTAAGGAATATAGTTCAAATGACTCTTCAAAAGTAATGAAATGTGTAATGTTCAAGTTTTATTAACAATGCTACTGAAGAAAATTTGATTACTGTTGAAGGTTATTAGTATTGTGAAATAAATTATGAAAAGGATGGGTATTTGTTTCAATGTAAATTGCTTTAACCTGCATGCAAGTAACTTAAAATAATAATAATAATAAAAATACTGAAAACTGTTAATCAGAGTTCATACACATTTCTGCACACAGAACTTAAGGACCATTAATGAAAAAAATTCAGGACCTATGAGTAAACGCGAACTGAATAAATTCAAAAATATTAGCGATGCCTGCATTTCACATTTGTAATACCATCCTAAAAATAAAATAGATCCATAAGTAGTATGTATTATTACTAAACATGAATTAACATAATTATTAATAAGTTTGAAAATGAAATAAACTTTAAGTAATTGATCAAGTAGCATTAAATATTTTACACTTATAATAGTTGGGCATATTTGAAAGAAGTGACATTTACATTTTACTAACTTTATGTAACTTTTTTTTTATGTCTCATAATGTCACATACTTGGTCAAGCTAGCGGTTTAGTAAGTAGCTGGTTGATTTTATGTCAAATGGCATAGGTTAAAATGAGAAGTATCATAATCAGCATAATTCATAACAAAAGTTAATAATTTAATAATTAATTTCTGTTTAAATTTAATACCAATTTATTTCCGTATATCACGTTTAACCTGTTAGTTTTACATCTACATGCTTATTATCTGTGAATTTTTACTACCATACGCTTAATATATTGTTTAGTCTGCTAACTAGAATTTACATGCACTAAAAATCACGTTTACGGCTCGCCTCAGCGTCGATGAAACGCGAGCTTGGCGAGTAAAAATGGAACGGCGGCAACGGGTTCGCTCCCGAAGCGCCAACGGGTTCTCTGCGGATGAAAACCCATATATATATATATATATATTTTCTAAACAGTATTGATTACTTTGCAGCAATTGCGCAAGTAATAATAACTTGTATTCGCACTAAATGGATTTGAGATCATACAACATTATATATATATATATATATATAATATCTCCTCTTTGGCAGCGCAGGATGCACATAGGGCATTGGGAAATCACTCCAAAACTTTTAGGATTTTAAAATTTCTTTTTAAAGTATTATGATTTTCAAACCTAATAATCAGAGCTGTTACCTGACATTCACATTTATCCACATTCAAGGAATGATAATATATTCTAGATCTCACTGCTGTAAAACATGCTTACTGTCATTTATGTGGAATAGAGTTTTTTATATATTTAAGTAATAGTACTCCTATATCACGTTTGATTTGCTTGTTTTGAACACTTTGTTCCAGTGCGAGATAACTGTTGTCCTCAGTATTAGTCAAAAAATAGAATCTACATGTAATGGACATACAATTTAATGTTCTTGTAATCAAAGTAGTGGTATGCATCCCATGGCCCATAGAAATAATCCTTCCTCTTTCTTCATGCTTTTACTTTTAAAATACTGATTAACTATTGCATCTATAATTCAACTTTTTTGCATTCATCACTGAAATGATGTTTAGGAAAGCTGGAACTGATTTTATGCTCTTTTCAGTCATGAAGTGGTTGGTATTTACTATTCTAGCTTTTGTTGTCTGAATTTTGGTACATCTGGTTATTTAACATTTCATGAATTCATCTTTTAAATATATTCCTTCACATAAAGTAACTTTGCTGTCTTGACCTCTTTTTTTTTTTTTTTTTTTTTTTTTTTTTTTTTTTTTTTTTTTTACATACTGGGTATGGATTGAGAAAGTATTCTGAAATGATTCTTTAAGTGAAGTAGATAATTTATTTTTGTTGATTTTCCATGTAACTGTATGTATAACAATCTCCCAGTACCTTATATAAAATATGACTGTTGTGCATTTTAGTTTTATTTAATTTTCTGTTTGCTTTATAGTATATTTGCCATCATGTACATTTTAGTCACCTGTTTGTTCAAAAAAATGGGGTAGCTTTTGGAGGGAAAAAAATTTAATTGAATTATACCTAGTTATGCTTAACTGAATCATGAAATAGTGGCCTGCTTCTTATGAAATACAGTGTGACATATGCATGTGTGGGAAGATGTTCGGTTGTACAAAATATCCAATTCTCCAGTTAAAGAAATTGAAACAAGGTATTTTGAATTCTGAGAAGCAGTGCTTAAAATCAGCTGGAGCTGAATTCCACAACTTTTTAGTTTTTGGTAGAAATCATACTTCTAGCTGATGTGCACTGAATCTGCAGAAGGGATAAGCTCTTTTTTTTTTTTTTTTTTTTTTTTTTTTTTTTTTTTTTTGTTACAGAACTGAAATGCAGTATCTGTAAAAAGTTTTATTCATGTAAGTGTGTTTTTTAGCATTTAGTAAAACTGACATTGGCACTAATTACTGAATGCTTGCCCATTTTCCAATGTTAAATGTCCATTTACATTATTAAAGATTTGAGATTGGAGGAAGCATCCAAGACACAAGAAACGTATGACAAGCTCATCTACTTATTTGAGAATTTTAGTTGGACATATTTAACTAATTTTATTATTTATTTTTTATCATAAGTTATTATTTATATATATATGTCAAATACATTTTTAATATATATAATTACAGTAGTCCTTTACACAAGCATATTAAACTCCCCAGTTAATATAATCATTATTTTTTTAGTGTCTTGAAATGTTAATTTTTGAATAATTAAAATGCAGTTTATCATAAAATATTATGTAAAGTTTTTTTTATTGATTTTTAATTTTTAAGTTTAAAAAAGTGAGAAATTTTATTTTATATTATTTTGCTAAATTTTAATTTTTGTTTTATTTGCTAAATGTGTTTACTGGTTGAAATAGTCCTTTACATAAGCATATTAAACTTTCATGAATAGCATAATTATTATTTTTTGAAAAATTAAATTTAATAAATCTCACCTGCATTTGTGTTAGATTTTCATACTGAAAGTCCTAAATTGTACTCAACTTTTTAAGTTGTTGTTAAAATTATGCATGTATTTTGTGTTAACCATTGGCCGAGTGCATGGATTCTAGATGCTTGTAGTCTAACCTGGATTTAAATTGTGATGGATAGACCGAGTGACTGCATAGGTGTTTTCATGATATTCCATATATATATTTCCCAAAAGAGTAATACAGTACAAAGTCCGAAATCCAGACATCCATTATCCGGAATGATCAAAATCCGAACCTCAAAGCCACAAACTTTTTTTTTTGTATGCTTTACACATGCACATTTGATTTTTCCTTCCGTAATAAAACATGGAGATTTTCACTTAAAAATTCTGATTCTTAACTTCACTTAGGAACTAAATAAAATACCTCGTTATGGAAAAATAATCATGTAAGCATAAATTTGTGCGATTAATAATTTGGCTCCATAGCTGAGTGTCTGCTTGGCATACATCGCAAACCGAAACATTCACCTATTTTATGTCCCTGATGCCGACCTGGCTAGTCATTATTTATTATATTTTGCTTTCATCACCGCATTTTTATCAATACATGAGAGCTTCAGTAATAACTCATGCAGTGATGTCTAAACTTTTTTTTTTATATTAGTAATTGAATAACAAGAGTATGGTAACCTTTTTATGTTAACATTATGTTTGGTGATGATTATAGATTTTTAAATGCTCTAAGAAATGTTGACGAGGAAAAATTCAACAAAAATTTCTTTTCATATGCTAAAATTAGATTTTGTTAATGGAACTCATAAGCCGAAAGATTACATTTAGTGCCATTTTAATTAAGAATAACTGATATGTTATTTCCCATAAATCCAGAAGTGGCGGCAGAATATGTCGGCACTGGACGGCAAAATTAAGGAAGATGAAATTTTTGGAATTTGGGGAAGCACCGAGTGGCAAAATTAAGGGATGAGAAGATTTTATGATTTAGGGAAAGCACTGGCATGCAAAGTTTAGGTGCGGTGAAAATTTAAAACTTAGGAAGGCACTATGTAGCAGAATTTAGGACCCATAGAGACTGCACCATGCGATCTTTAACGTAACTCTAGATAAAGCGGTAAGTATATGTGGGAGTTTATTTATTCAGGACTCAGATTAGTTTTAAGTATGTGCAAGAAATAAACATAAGTATAGTAAGTAACTAAACTAATACAATTC